GAGCCAGTGGAGCAGCAAACGAGTGCGAGAGAGAGAGAAGCGGGGGGGGAGAGGGGGGGGGAGGATGCTGTGGGACTCTGAGGAGCATTGATTGCCTCTGTGCCAGCCAGACAGCGCATAAGAAAAGACAGACAACAGATAGACGGACAGAGACCCGCTTTTCTCAGTCCGTCCGTCGAATGATGATGAAGAAACCAGTATGAAGGAGAGCGCAAGGTGCAGACTTGAAATGTTTTCATCAAGAAAAGAAAAGAAACAATTTGAAATTGTTTTCATCGTATCTCACCTTCTGCGAGGAGCAGCGCGGTTGGATTACTCTCCGTTCTCTCTGCCCATCATTTCCAGTTCCAGCTTCATGCCCGTCGAACTCACTCCCTCTTTCATGATCCGTCCTCCTCCTTCCTCCCTCGTCCCTCGTGCTCCCTCCCTTGTCCTCCCTCCTCCTGCCTCCTCTTCCCTCTTGCTCCTACCCACCCTTCACCCCCTTCTCCAACGCAAGCCTTCAAAAACTTCGAGGCCTGGACTTCGGCCTCGACGTGGGCCCCCAACGTCGGCCCGCGAGATGTAGTTGTCTGCTGAATCTCTAAGTTTCCACACATTGATCTTCCGGCGCCTCAATCCACTCGTGAATCAGCGCGAACTGACACAATAACTTTTTTTTTTGTTTTTTTCGGGAATCCATCGGCCTAGCTCAGTTGGTAGGGCACGCAAGTGGCATTCAGGAGTCTTGGGTTCAATCCCCATTGGCCTCATGTACCTTCCTGGGCATGCTTGGCGCCCGCCACCTAGAGATAACCCGTTGGTCCCCCCAATTAGCCACCTAGAGAAAGCAGTCTCTGCTGATGTTCATAGGGGGAGGGGTAATCAGGGAGGCACAGCGACTGGCCACTCAGATGATGCTCCGTCCCTCTGCTACTGGCTGTCCCCTGGGCGGTGTCCCCATCGGGGGTTCCTGGCAATCAAGGCCACCCTGGGATGAAAAGGCCCCCATCGGGGGTTCCCTGAGGGCAATCAAGGCCACCCTGGGCTGAAAAGGCCACCCTGGGCTGAAAAGGCCACCCGATGTCAGATTAGACACAATATTGAATTTACCTGGGCTGGTTAGTCCGATGATAATATCTCAAGGCCATCCCCCTTTTTCTTAAAAAAAAAAAAAAAGATATCATCATTGAGCTGACCGGCCCCAGGTAAGGGCCTCGTTAGACCCTCCTTGAAAATCCTCAGGAATGTCGAAAGTTATGGTTACACCGCGTCCTAAAAAACAAAAATCCTTGAAAAAATGTGAAAACGCTCCCAAGAGATTTCCTTGGGTCCCTCGGAATCCCCAGCCATTGCGTCCTTGGATTCAAGGGGTCCTCGAGAGGTCCCTTGGGTTCAAGGATCCGTGATAGACGGGCCGTCGTTGAGTGTGCGTCGACACGGAAAGTTTCTGTTTTTGCTGGTGCACATGACGTCCGTGGTCCATCGGGCGGACAATATCGGCTTCCAACCGGCGGGAGGTCACCAACGGCCTTGTGGTGTTACCGTTCGCGCGCACACAGCCGGGGGTCCTGCTTCGGGTGCGACAAACGTCGAAGCGGTGGGGTTCTCCTTCTGCGCTTCGTCGGGCGTCGTGTCCAACGGTCGAATATTTCGAAATTTGTTTTATGTGCGGGGTGTGATGTTGTCGCCGGCCGGCCCGTTTGCTGCCACTCGCGTGCACGCGTGAGGGTTGTCCATTCGGTGGTCATCTACACGTGGTGCGTTTCATGGCAGACATCTTCCGGCGGCTACCGCTCCTGTTACTGGCAACTCTTCTGCTGCTTCTTCTCGTCTTTTTGCGCGCCTTCGTCGTGTCACGGCCTCCTGGGCGTAGACAGAGACGACAAGTGGATAGGAAGACGACGATGGACAGACGGGACAGCTCCGTCGGACAGCAAAAGACGTGCGATGGATTTCTCCACTCCTGATCGGCCCCTGTCCGGCCATTGACCCGCCGCATATGACCCGTCCTTGTACAGTCATCTTCCACTGCACGAGCAGCCGTTGCCGCCGGATTCGGAGGACGCCTGGGTTGAGGATCTGTCGCACACACTTCCTCTGGGGAGTGGATCTACGCAGGAGTGGACAAGCAGGCAATGCCAGCAGAGAGAAGCAGGGACAACGCGCGAGTCGTTCACCGCATTGCTGGAGGAGGGTGTCGACAACGCCGCCACGGAGCTTGTGGACTTGGATTTCGGATTGTGCAGCGGGAGTGGTGCAAGTGGTCCGATCCACAGCGGGGGGGTGGTGGGAGCGCCGACGTTCGGAGGAGGATAGTCCCGTGTCAGTGGGCCGACGAATGGGTGTTGTCCACCGGTCTCGAGTTCCATGGGCGCCGGGCCAGTTGGCGAGTCGTCAAGGGCAGTGACACCCACCCGCCCCTCGGTGTCTTCGCCTGCAATGCAGCAGAGGGCGACCTCAAGTGCTGCAATCAATGATGAGACTCCACCGGAAGACATCGGGAGGCAGGCGTGGGAGAACTGCCGCCTACAGATGCGGTGTGCTGCCGCGGAGAACATAACCACCGGTGTGTCCAGGCTGCGTGTGGGGAGCGACGTGGATGCGGACGACAACCGTCGGGCGAGTGGGGACGAGTCTCCGGATTCCCGTTACGAAGACGACGCGGAAGACGGTGAGGGGCTGGAGATCCGACCCGTGGCTGCGCGTGGTGGGCGTAGGGGAGGACGCGGACGTCAGCAGAGGGGCGAGTCGCGTGGTGGTTGAGGATCGAAGGCTCCTGTGGGCCACAAGGGTGGCAAGCACCCAGCTTGGAGTGTGGAGGAGATGCTGAAGCTCGCTCGAGCGAAGCGGGATCGGCAAGCTCATTTCGAGGGAATACCGCACAACTACGGCTGCATGCGCAACAGGAAGTGGAAGCTTCTGGACCTACAGAAGCGGCTGGCGGAGGTCGGAGTGAACAGGGCAACGGACGACGTCGGGAAGAAGTGGGATAACGTCTTCCAGCAGTACAAGAAGGTGCAGCGTTACCAGAAGATGTCCGGTGGGAAGAACTTCTTCACATTAACTCCTGCAATGAGAGCGGACGAGTCTTCAACTTCCGAATGGATGAGCGAGTCTTCAATGAGATCGACAGCATGTCGAAAAATAACAAGACCATCTACCCGGACAACGTGGCAGACACGAGCGCCCACGGAGGAGTGCCGCCAGCAATGGATGGTCACCGCCAGGCAGTCGTTGGTGGAGAGTCCTGTGTTGGTGGAGAGGGGGGTGATGGCGTCGACGAAGATGTGGGTTCAGCGCCGGAGTCGGGGTTCAGTGCAGGGAGCATGGGCAATCCAGCGAAGAGGAAGAACATGCGGCAGCAGACCTTCGACGCCATCGCCGAAGTCATGGACAAACACGGTGCATTGATGGCGGACACGGTAAAGGGTGCGAGCAAACGACAGTGTAGCATCCTGGAGCGGCAGTGTGACATCCTGGACCAGGAGGTTGAAGCCCAAAAGCGGCAGTGTGACATACTGGAGAGGCATTACACGGCGTCCGATGAGGCGAATAGGATGATGTGCACGGCGTTGATGGAGATTGCCAGAGCGATAAGGGACAGATCTTGACGCCGGTGGCGTGAGGTTTGTTGAGCCGTTGTGGTGGATTCGCCCGCGAATTGGCCCGTGGCGAAATGTGGTGTCGCTCCTCCGACAACGACAGAAATCCAGGAAACAAGGCGGGGGATGGGGTGCGCGATGGCCGTCTACCCTCGCGCGCTGCGAAATGTTGAGTCGCTGGCCCTCCAACGCAGGGTCGTCCATTCCCTGGACCGCACTGTCCCTTGGTATTTGGGGTGCTCTGCCCGCATGTGGAATGGGTTATCGTCACTGCCGTCGCATGGAGGGGTGTGCTGGAGGCCGTCTGGGCGGGATCCGCGCGCCGAGGGAGGGGAAATGTCACCTCTTTTGGTTCTCGACTGCACGCAAGGCCACGCCTGGGGTTTCAGTTGTGCTGCGCGGGAAGCTCAACATCACCCGCGCAAGACGATCCCTGGCAACTTCCTCTCAAGCGTTGTGGCAGTTCGCTTTCGTTCACGGGCTGTGCGCATCCGACCGTCAGCGAATGGCGCCACGTGGCCAACAGAAGGCGAAACGTCCACACGGTGGTTCCAGCGAAGCAGGTGCAGGGCAAACAGGAAGGGGCCACGTCCCAAAGTCGAAGAAGCTCTGCGCGAGAGAGGGGTCGGAAGGCGAGATGGGGGGTGACGGGGGAGAGGAGGTGACGCCTATGGACATCACTTCTGCAGGGACGCCTGCGCTCGGGTTCGGGCGAGACGGTGTGAGCAGGCAGCGTATGCTTGCGCTCACCAACCTTGGCGTCCTCACATCCACGCGCGGTGGCGGTGGCGGGACGGCTCGTGCGCAAGGAGTTCTGTTCGGTGACATTCCGCCGCAGAGGTCCGTGGGTTCTGCATCTACCATCGCATTCGTGTCCGAGCGCGGCGATAAAGCTCCGGTCGGTGAGTCTCCATCGCGCCACGTGGAGGCGTCGAACCCGACGATCGTCGCCGTTTCGCCGAGGGCTGTGCATCAATCCGCACAAGCAGCGAGCGTCGCTGGCCATGCCGCCGCCCTCGGTACTAGAGAAAGGCAAGAAGATCGGAGGGTGGAAGAGGCGGGGAGAAAACAGGAGAGGAGGGAGGAGAGTCCGCGTGGGGAAGAAGAGGACGACCAGCCTCTGAGCGCGAGGAAGAAATGGTCCCGCCAAGAAGAGGAGTTGGAGGCGCAATCGAAGCTATGGGTAGACGGCAAAGCGTTCTAGGCAACCGGTCCCGAACAGATGATCGCGGACGCGGTGCATTCCTACGTGGACTACTTCTGCGCGATCGTCAATGGAGATGCAGGCGCCAGCGCTCCGCAAGGCCTCATGATGCCACCCCCCGAAGTCCCGCGCGTGCGGATCGAAGATGGCGCGCAACGAGAGCCAGCTCTCAGACGGGCGAGATGAACGGAGAACGTGGCAATGCGCGTCATCCACGACTGAATATTCAGGTCGCCTTCAAGGTCCGATGGTTTCGCCCGCGCGAAGTCCTACGTCGCCACATATAACCCCACCGACCTGGCGAGAGCGGTTTGGCAGAGCTTGGAGTGGTCGAGGATAGTGTCGCCTGCCGTAGTTTACCACACGGTCGCTTTGAAGATGAACATCCCAGTGTGGTTCGCCGGGGCGTATATCGAGAACAGGCCGGAGGACGATGACATGGCCGCGCACTAGGAGGCGACTGTGATGCATCTTGCGTCATGCTTCCACGACGCACTCGGGGCCGGGCAGTGGTGGGACGGCGGTAGATTGTTACACCAGAGACTGAGCAAAATCGGGGATGCTTTCCGCCTGCTTCTCGCCGCGTGCATGTGGGTCATGCGCATGGGAGGCGACGATGCGCGCTCCTACAAGGAGGCGTCTTACTACGTGCAACTGGTGGCGAAGCCTACTATCGTGGCGTCGTGTTCATCGTCCTTCAACTGGCGCCGCCATGTGATGCACTCGGCGAACGCAGTCTTGAGTCGCCTGCGGAAGCCACCGTTGACGCTGGGCGCTTTCCCTGACTACATCCCGGAGTGGGCTTCGTGCGGAGTGCGGTACAACTGCAACGCTGGTCTGGCGGACCCCGACGTCGCGGCGAGAGTGGACTGGATGGGGACGGCCCGGGGACCTTTTGAAGGCGATCGGAAGGAGGACGGTACAGAAGACGAAACGGGAGCGTAAGTGTCCTCGATATGGCCGTCTTGCGTGACAAGGAAGAAGGTTTCGCCCGTGGAGTGAAGCGGTCCGTCATTAAGGTTTTGACATGGCGGGAAATGGAAGTGCCAGATCGGCGGGGGG